TACATATGTACATATGTAAATTTGTGCAAATTAAAATGAAATAAAAAAGAAAGCGAGTTTATAAAAACGTGGTAAAAAAATTTTAATTAGTACAACGGAGTTCTGGTTGAACGATTCGTCGAAGGATGAGAGCTTAGAAAACTGGAGCATAAAACGTTTAAGAGAGCTGTCTTTCGAATACATTTTGACATACAATATTTTTAAGAAATTTTGTGATCCAAATCTATTTATTATATATTCGATAGCCAGCGAAGATCAAAAATCAAATGCAACTCATACTAAAGACCTTAAACTCTTAAACATTTTACTATTTACTACTAAGCTTACTTACTAAGCTCTCATCCTCTGACGAATCGTTCTCATTTTTACGACATTTTTATAAACTCGCTTTTTTATTTCGATTTAATTTGCACAAATTTACATAAATATGTATAAACACACTTTTTAGTTTGCTCGACTTCTAAACAAAGCTTCTGCNAATTTGCACAAATTTACATAAATATGTATAAACACACTTTTTAGTTTGCTTGACTTCTAAACAAAGCTTCTGCGCGGTGAAAAATATACTATTGTGAACAACCTAAACGAGCGAAATTCACAATAGCGCTATTCTTCATCGAATGAGCGTCATAATATCAAATGAAAATTCGTTCGATCAGCACTTTCGACCACACACGAAGATCGAAAGCAACTCATAATAGGGGCCTTTATCTTTGTTAATTCGTTTCTTCGTCTATGTACGTACTAACCTTTACATTCATTCTAGTACTCGTATTTGTATTAATCTAAATCTTATTTCTAAACCGGTTATTAGCAGGCTTTTGTTAAATTACTACCGTGTGCATACATTTAAGAAGCACTTGTTTCTTTTGCAACCATTTGCCAATTTACTTCCAACCAAACAACAAAGAAGCTTCACTTCAATAATAATATTTTTGTGCTTATAAATTTGCTAAGGGTTTGGCCGAGCTTTTCCTACGACTTGTTGTGTGCGTCTTGCTGTTGTTACGCAAATGGAGAGACCTACAGTTTTATGCCATCTCCGAACGGCAAACGTATTTTTATTAGAAGCTTGTTCATGGCAGAAATACATCCGGAGTTTGCCATTGCCTGCCGACCGCTGTTATAAAAAACTTTCCTTAATTCAGATCAGGATCGAATCCACGACCTACAGAGTTGTTGAACGCACCTCTAACCATTCAGCCACAGAGGAAGTAAAACACCGTTAATAAAATTTAACTTACCTGAAAAATAACGATGAACGCTAGACGTCCAGTCAGTATTTTCCAGTAATACGATGGTCGCTTGTAAGGATGATCATCCCAGGGCGGATTACGGAATTCAGTATAGCGACAGGAGGTTACATTTTCATAGGTACTCCCCAGCAGGACGGGCTGTACCTAGAAGCGTAATATATACACGTAATTTTTTTTTTATATAACTCAAATCATAGCAGAGCCTAACCTGGAAGTCCGCTGTGTTAAAATAGGCAAGCGTAAAATTTAGATATCCCTCTAAGGATGCATCATTCGTGGCAGTTGTGTAGACAAGTTTCGGTATGAGATTTGTAGAAAATGCAATGATCATGGCCTGAAATATGAGGCGTAACATATATTTACATTATCCTAATTTTATTTATTATCTCAAAAATCTTACACTCGATGCGACGGCGATTCGCGTAACAATTGCCATCATATTATACCAAACCCCAATATTACAAGCACGTTGCGCTACCGGACGACGAATAAGCCTTAACATTTTTATAGCATCCAAGCGTACTTCAATGACATTATTAATTAGCGCTAATAGCGGCGCCAGTGGGAAAGCCAAGCCGAAAAGTGTTATGAAGCCAAATTGCAGAACTGATGGGAGAATTTAAAGTGTAAGTACGTATGTATGTAAATATTTGCCGCACAAATTGTCGAAGAATTTACTAACCCATTTCCAAATACTCTGAGAATAGCGAATTTGTATTCGATGGTTCTAGATGATAATCCTCAGTCCACTGATTGCACGATATTAGCTTCTCTTCACTTTCCACTTTTCTCATGCCAATGCGCGCAGAAAGCTTACGTATGCAACGCATAATATATGGAAATAGCATTTCTACAATAGCATTTACCGCCTGCTTGCCCACCATAATGATGACAAGTTGCATGCAGAGTTCCATCAAACAACCACCTGGATTGCATTCTTCCTGCCGAAACCCCAATATTCGATTATATTTGGCTGGGTAGCCCACGAATTTTCCCTTTAGGAAAGCAATATAAAATAACGAGGAGTAGTAGTTGACAAATTGAAAAACATAGTTCTTAATTGTCAGGCTTTCATCGTACTGCGTTTGTGTACGACAATATTCCATATTCGTGAGATGAACAGCCAGTGAGGTGTAGACATAATCGAGCATAGAAATAACTATTAGATCGATGATACCAGCCGTCATGGGAAGCACCATTATTTTGAAGGTCATTGAATCTTCGTTACCTAAAATGCTATGTGATGCCTTTTGTGCCATACGATAGACAATCATAGAGAAAATCGCAATGAGCGAAACGCAGATCTGGAATGCGATAACAATAAATGAATGCAATGCCTAAGCCGGAGTGTATTTAAAAAAAAATATGGTATACTCACAAACAAAACCATAATGCTGTAACTTGTAAAACTTGGTAAAAATTTTATACGCCAAAATGGAACGTCCGGCTCTAATATATTATTGCTTTTCTTCCAACGCTCCGTAATATCCTTGTGCTTTTGTAGTTTTGATAAATACTGCGGTCGCGGATGTTCCACATGCTGTGAGAAGCTGGTCAATCCCCATCGATGCACCAAAGTTGCTGAGTAGCGCTTCCAGAGCTCCAGGTAGAGTACAGCTGTGAGAGAGAATTACATTTTTTATCAAACTAAGCGATACATATTTCAGAGAGCAAATATATACCCCAAATGGCCATTATCGATGCAAATACAACTGTCATATTATTATCTATTAGATAGTTCATTTTCGATGAATTACAAGTCTCTTCCAGCAGCCAATAGTTACAGTTTCGATCACATTGTGGGCACATAAGAGTTGTTTGGTTATCGTTGCAAATTTGGCGGCTGAAATAAAGGAAGAGCAGTTTTGTTATTATTTGGTGTTTTTAACTAAAATGTGAACCAATTTACTGTTCCGGAACATTGGCAAAGAACGGGTTTCAAAACAATAATATACTATTTATGTAGTACAAGCAAACCACAAAGATAGAACTTATAGATTTAGGACTCGTATTTATGCTTAAATATTAGCTTTTCTCCGCACGGGCCCGCGAGATACCGCGGGTGCCCAAAACAGCCCAGAAAGCGTTCCTCATGCTAGAAAAATTTTTCACTTTTAGATCGTAAATGTCTTCTTCTTCGTGCCCGAAAATGTGCAAGAAGCCAATTTGAAATAACAGATATAACTATAATTTTATTAGCCATATTAGATAAATACACATAAAATCATTGTTCAAAGCTGATTTGCTGATTCCGGGCACGAAATATGGTTTTTGCGTTCCGCACGCTCTGGGCACTTTTGTCACGTGTTGACGTGTGAGAGAGTAACTTATTTTTACACTCTTTGTGGAACAAACCTATTGTATTATTAATAGGAATAGATCACTGCCTATTAGCTCCAGAAAAAAATATAGTGCATTAAAAATATCAAGTAGATATTTTACAAAGAGGTGTATTTTTTCTAGATTGATGAGAAGAGACTGGTATAAAATAACATGAATGTATGCGTCGTAGGGGTTACCCTTCCCCCGAAATTTTCACTAAAGAATATAATTTTTTACCTTATGGGATCTCTGCTCCACGTTACAAATCCATAGATGAAACATAAAATACCGAGTACGCTAACGGGTATTAGCATGTGAGTGTAGAAACCCAACCAAGCAAAATATAAGGCTACTTTTGCACCAAAATACTCTTTAATGCTATCCAGAGGTTGTAAGCTGAAAAAATATTTTTCAATTGTGAACAATTGATTACTTTTAGACTAGATTCTAAACATACTGTATCCACTTCCGCAGCGTAGCCCATTCTTGCAGTAGAAAGTCTCGATCCGTATCCTGTGGGACATAAAGCAGATAATATTCAAGTTAATAAAACGTAATTAGAAATGCTATAATAGAGCCCTTATAAATTATAATTTTTTTGTCTTTAATTTTTTGAATCCGCGAAATTTATATACATGCATATATATATTGGCATATGGCCAATTGTAAATCTGCTAACATGATAAGGCCCACAAAAAACATCATGATATTGCTAAAATGAGAATCTTTTATTTAGAATCGGACTAGTTATACTTTAAATGCTACTTATTTCAACGAAAAATTGTCAAGGTACTATAACGGGACACCATCTGTTTAAAAATGTAAACAGAAGTTTTTCGTGACTGCCTGGCTTTCGGCCAAAAATTGGGCATCGACAAAAAGCCTAAGGGTATTTCAATTTGCGAAAGGAGCAGTAATATTCTTTTTAAGACGCATCAGTAGAGTTTAGAAGGTTGTGTAGGTGTAGAATAAATTGCTAGCGTTTTTAGGGAATATGATCCCATTTAAAAACAGGCACCAATATGTCGAATTTCCGCTGGGCATGGCAATGCTAAAATTTACGAAAATTATGGCATTTAAAAGGGCAACGTAGTAACAGATTTAGCGGCTATTATTACCATGACACTTGTATTATTTACTGCCCAGTTTTATCATTAAAATTCTTGTCAAGGATCGGTCATTATAACTGCCTCTGAAAAAAGGTTCTGATTTATTATCAAAACCTAAATTGGTAGAGCAGATTTGCACCCCTATTGCGAATGTCGACTGGCAGTAGATAAACGACTATTAAGCGATTATCGATTATCGATGCTATTGCGAGTGTCGCTTAGTCGCTCAATTAGCGACTGTGAATACTTTTTAATCGCTCATCCTTCTATTGCTGTTTTTTAGTCGTTGGAGTTTGCGTTTATAAAATTTACATAAGAAAGTGGTACTATAATGGATAAAAAGTAAGTCAATTGAACTGGAAGTTGTAAAAAATTGTGAAATATACATATGCATGTATGTGTCTGAATTACAGATCAAAAATTATAAGCAACA